AGGGAGGGAGGGAGGGAGGGAGGGAGGGAGGGAGGGAGGGAGGGAGGGAGGGCACCACTGCAAGAAGAGAATGATACACAGATGTGTCCAGCCCACTGGCCACACAGCTTAGTGGGGGTCACCACATGCTTCCTGGGCACCTGCAGTGTTCCAGGCACCAGGATTTGTTTTCCTGGAGCTGTGGTAACAAAGTACAACAAGGAGGCTTAAAGCAGCAATGCATTGCCTCTCTTTGTAAGCTAAGCTCAAATGTAAATGAAAAGTGAACGTAAAGACTCCTTCACCTCATCTAGCTCCTTGCCAGCAATTTCTGGCACTGTTTGCTTACAGCTTCATCATCCCCTTCTCTGCCTCTGCCATCACATGTAATCCTCTCATGAGTTCCACTCTTAATAGAACCCAATGACATTGGATAAGTGTGCACCCTACTCTGGCTTGATGGCTTTGTTGCAAGACACTCTTCTTGGAGAGACGTAACCAGACGCCTACTCACCCAGATAGGGAACAGACGACAGACCAAACAAAGCACAGGCACTATCAAAGTCCAATTTAGTGAGTCAATGAGTTTTACTTGGGTCATTTATAGAAATATGAGTGACAGGTTATATTTACAGGAGCAGAATTGACTCAGATAGCTGCATCCCGAAGCCCACCCCAGCATGGGTGACATCATGCAAAGCTAGAAACCTGGAGCACACTGCACTGCCTGCAGGCAGTTGAAAAAGTTGGACAGTGGCCTTTCCGCATGGCTCAGTTGGTCTGAGCCTCTTACACCCAGCTGAACCACTCTCTTTTCCTTGTGGGCAGTTCAGCTGGTCTCTGCTTCTCCCTGGCATCTGGGTTTGCCTGAGAGTCTTCCTTGCAACTTGGCTTGTCTGAGAGTAACTCTTAGCAGTTCTGGGTGCTTTATGTATGCCTGGGGAGGGAAGAGCAGAGTGAAGCTCTGCTTCTGGGACTTTCAGGAGCTGTTTTGAGTTGTTTACTTCCTGTCCTAAGGAGCTTGCCTGCAGTACATGGAGTGTTTCACCTCTCTGCAAATATCCTGCCTAAAAATCCTGCTGTTTCACTCCCTCCCTAAATTTCCCTCTGAGAAGGCAGGTTTTAACCTGAAGGAAACTGCTGCACACCCATGTTAACTGTGGAATGTTCCCCACAGGCTCAGTCAGGCCCCAGTGAGTGGTGTTACAGAACCTTTCAGACATAAAGCCACAGAGCTGTGCCTTGAGGATTATAGTCCAGCCTCAGTCTGGTCTCAGATCTCTGCCTCCAGCCTGCCCTAAACGACACCCCCAGCTGCGAGCTCACAGCCTTGTGAGCTCCAGCTTGTCTTCCCCACACAAATGAACCATATCCCATGAGCAGTACGGCAAAATAAGCCTCCCCTCCCTTAACTTGGTCCTACATTAAGTCATGTCAGTCAGAGAAGAAACTACTTCATCTAGTCTGAGCCATCTGAACTCTGCAATAAGTCTTTCCCACGGAGTGTCATACGCTGACCTACTGTGGGTTAGATCCCCAATGTATCTGTTGGGGAGATGTAATTTCACAGGCACTATTCAAGACAACGGTTGGGTTGGGTTAGTGATATTATTGTAAGTAGTTGACTCTCCAGAGAAATTCTCATATGGATGGAGAATTTACTCAGTGGAAGAAATGACATTGTAGGTGGAGACGAACAGATGAGCAAATTCACCCAAGAAAGGGTTAGAAGGGGCTCATGTCCAGAGCACAGCTCTGGCCCCCTCAGTACTGGGCTGGACCCAGCACCCCAAGGGAGACCTAGCAGTGTCCCCCCACATGGTCAGCCATGGTTAATCATGCCCCCAGCTGGCTTCCACTGGAATAGCCCCTCTCTGGGAAATGGTCAAAGGCGTAAGGCTGAGGGGTTATCAGCAGCCTGCCAGATCTGCAGCCCACAATTACAGCCTCTGTGTAGATGAGAGACAGGGGCGAGTCAATGCTTCCTCCCTCTTTTGGCCATAGCTGACTAAAATATTTCTGACCCAGAATCAGCCAAGTGCTTACTACACAGATAGCTTCTGCCGACCTCCTTCCTGGAGAATGTATAATGTACTTTACTGGGGCAGGCAGAGTTTCTCCGACTGTATTCAGCCAGCCTCATAGCTGCCAAAATGCCTCTGCTTCAAGGGCCTAGTTGCTGAGTTTCTGCCAGGAGTGAAGCAAGAACAGGGGATGAGGGTACAAAGTCCTGGACCTGATGAGCTTTTACCTTGGGACAGCGCTGACTTTGGAGGCAACTCCTTTACAAGCCGTGTGGAGTGTGGGTTTCCTTTGTGACCATACTTAAGCGTCTCACTTGAAGATGAGATAGGAGACACCTTTTCTGAACATACACAGGAAAATGTGCACAAAATCCTAAGCATGCATCTTGGTCCGATGAACCTTTTCAGAAGGTGGAGCCAGCTCCAGAACTGGGATGGTAACACCGTCCAGAAGGCCCACACACTCCTCTCTGGTTCCCACCCACCAATGGTAATTACCATCCTAACTTGTAATACCACAGACTTTGAGGTTCCAGCTTGTATAAATGAAACAGTATGAATCTTTGGGCTTATGGACTCACCCCCTCATTTTCATGTTTATGAGTCTTGGCGATGTTGTTGCTAGAGTTCATTGTCATTGTTCTGTGACAATTTATTTATTCACCTATCCGATAAACATTTAAATGTTTCCCAGTCTGGGCTACTATGCATGGTGCTTCTTTGAATGGTCTCTGGGTGAATATGTGTACATTGGGGAGGGATAGATACTTGTATATAATTATCTTTTGCTGTTTAACAGCTGTACACCTCCCCACACCCAACCTAGAAATTTACAAGACTAAATATTTGTCATCTCTTATTGCTTATGAGTAAGGAATTTGGAAGAAGCCTGGAGAGGTGGACCTGGCTCAGCCCCTGTGAGGCTGAGGTCATCTGAAGCTGGCCTGGGTCTGGGTTGTGTGTTTGTAAGGCAGTTCTCATAGACAAGTGGCAAGTGGGGGCTACTTGTGGAAGGATGGTGTGATTCTTCGGCTACAGGATCTCTTCCCCAAGACTGTGCTCATGATATGGTGGCATCCTACCTCACTCACCACAAGGAAGCCATCAGACAGAGCAGAAGCAGAAGCTACACCCTGGATGATCTAACCCATAAAGTCACACAGTCTCGCTGTTGCCTCATTCCACTCATGGAAAGCAAGCCTCTAACTCCAGCCCTCACTCAAGAACCCAACTTGGAAGAAAGAGTGGTAAAGAATGAACACACTTATCTCAAACCCATATGTTTTAAACCTTCAACTTGATTGTTTTGGGGTCCATAGATAAAGTTTCTAGACATTAAAACAAGAATGCATAAGAAATATGTTCACCCTGCCCCTTCTATCTATTTAAAATTTGGTGAATGATTATATTAGATATTTCCTGGAGACACCATTATACAAATAGGAGACACAAAGGCTTTGGTGTCAGGTGTGGCCAAGTAGGTTTGAATCCTGGATTCCCTACCTAATTATGGGTACCTGAGTACTTCAGGCACGTTGATTCTCAAATTCCTTCAACTATAAAATTAGGGAGATCAATGAAAACTATCTTTATGAAGGTAACTAGATATGATATGTTTGCATGCCATCTATAATGGTAGATTCCTTCCTTCTGCCAACTTATCAGGAATGTATTAGCCATCTCCATGAACCACGTAGATGTAGCTCCAGTGGATTTTGTGAGTGGTATAAACCACACTCCAACACAGGCTCTACCTGAGGTGATGGATGCTGTAACAAGGCCCTTGAAAGGCAGAAAACCTTTGATCCAGCTGAGAAGAAAATGACCCATGCCTGGATCAGATATAAATGCACATATATGGAAAGAGAAGATATTCTGAAACAGGAAGAAATACAAAAGCTATTCCAGGACCCAGGTGCAGTTTCCAAAAACGATAGTCATGGAAGATAAATGGAAATAGCAAAGAAGTTTATTGTTAGTTATTGTTCATCACAGTGTTGATGAAGGGAGAGTAGGAAGTAGGTGGGAGAGAGAAGCAAGAACAATTGGGAGTTTCTACTCAGTTTCATAATCTGATGAAAATCATTAAGGCTAAAGATTTTTGAAACTGAGCTCACTAGGTACTGAAGGATGCCCCACTGTGCTGTCCATGGCTGGCACCTTTTATAGAACCTGTGTGTCTCCAACTGTGAGCAGAAGACCGTTAGAAAACACTTCTGAGTCAGAGTCCAAGCAACTGAACTTTGTCCTTATTGTTGGAATTTTTGGAGGACCAACCGGCAGGGAAGCACATTGGGGTTGGTTTTATTGCCCCTTAGCTCACCATAAATGTACTTCTCAAGGCATGGGCATGTGGAACGGCCATTCAAGCACTCGGCTCATCTGTGTGTTTGACTTCTCTGTCCAGACAATGAGCCACTCACTCCTTACTTCTCTTCAAAAAGGCTGATCTGTTTTGCAGCCCCTGCTTCTGTTACAGGCAGTGATGATATTTATACATAGGACAGAGACTTTTCCATGCTAAGATGGAAGCTTAATGGAAGTTGGAGCCAATGACCTTCCACTTTGAAGCCAAAGAGTAAAAAGCACAAATGTTTCCACCTCGTGCAGGAGGCTAGAGAAATAAACAGGGAAGTGTTTTCTATCCTAGAACTAGCTGCTATTGAAAGTATGATTCCTAAATCTTTTATGTATAGCTTACCCCTCATCTAGCATCCCCCTAACTGTTTTGATGATCGCATGTTCTGTCAAAATATGCATCGTTACAACCTTTACTGGTGATTTTTGTAAATAAACATTGGCTGTCCAATGGACTTCTTTGTTTTATTCTGAATGAGCTCTAAGCACAAAGGGGATGGTTGGGTTTGGAGGGCAGGACCCAGTGCCTAACCAAACGTCTTGGAAAACCTTTCCTACTCCCCATGAGGGCTTTCAATTGCCTGTGAAGTGTTTGTACAAAAACTCAGTTGGGCTCTTTACTATCTTATTTCTTCTCAGGTGGGAAATTGGAAAGTGGAGCCCGTGTAGCCTCACCTGTGGGGTTGGCCTGCAGACCAGGGATGTTGTCTGCTCCCACCTACTTTCGAGAGAGATGAACGAGGTGGTTGTCCTGGCTGATGAGCTGTGTCATCACCCCAAACCAAACACAGTGCAAGCCTGCAACCGCTTCAATTGCCCCCCAGCCTGGTACCCTGCACAGTGGCAGCTGGTGAGTCCTGAAGTTACTTCCAAATGCAGCTTTTATTGGTGGCAGTGATTCAGGACAGAAGGACACTTTTCCAGAATAGCTTAAAGGTATACCCACGTTCTCCTATCTCTCCCTTCTTAGTTCTTCTCCAGCCTTCCTCAAACTTAGGCATTTTCATTGTAAATACAACACTCTGTCTACCATGAGATAGCCCAGTATTCTCCAAGAGCACCACACACACACCATTCATCTATGAACCTGAGCACATTCCTGACAAATTGCCACCAAGCAAGAAACCATTTTCAATTAAAGCCACTTTAAGGTTTCCCATAAAGATTAAATTGTCCTCGATTTATACCCTTTCTACTTTCTGCTATTTAAAATTCTCATTGTCAGTTTTAGGGGTTTTTTTCTTCTTTGTTTTGAGAATTTTATACATGTATACAATGAAACATGATCATACTACCTCCATTTTTCCTCTCAAACTTCCCCATGGCCCCTCAATATGCCCCCTCCAATGTCATATGCATATATTTAAAGAATATCCTTACTTTGTTTATCTAAGTTAGAAATTCTGAGCCAACTTCAGATTTTTAACTTTTTTTCCTGATCTTATGAATTCTGAAAGTCTGAGAACCATAGTTTTAAATCAAGAGATGACCAAACTTCAGCCCAACAAGCTAAACCTAACCTCCTGCCTTTTTGTAAATAAAGTTTTATTGGAACACAGACATTGTCATCCTTTTTATATATTTTCTGTCACTGATTTTTTTTCTAAAAGGATAGAATCATATGGCTGTGACAAAGACCACATAGCTCCCCAAAGCTAAACTATTTACTATCAGCCCTTTACAAAGTTTCTGGATCCTACACCCATACACACACACACACACACACACACACACACACACACACACCAAACCAGCAATAAAAATACAACGGCTCTATTGGGATATATTACTAAAATTATTATGTCTCAAAATTGAAATAACCTTTGGCATGCCTCTAAAGAACACAAAAAGTTTTAAATCAGTTGTTTGGATGAGATCTTATCTTGCAATTTGTTCCTCATTAGGACATCAGACATAACTTTAAAGTAACAACAGTGGTCACAAAAGTAAGTCTGAAATTTGAAAGGGATGTACATCCCTTTTAGAGTCTATTGTAAACTCTAGAAGTGTCCCAGTTAGGATGGAAAATTTTATAGTCACTCAGCTGAGAAGAGAGGATATCTCCATGTACATCCTTCCCTTATAGCTAAGAGATGGTGTGTTGGTCCCAAGTAGCCAACAGTCTTTCATGTTTCTTACTTCCTTCTCCCTGGCTATCACATAATGATAATTTAGTAAACATAAAACAGCAGTGAGTGAGCAAAATATTACAGTAGGGTCAACACTTGGGATGTGTAGTTTGCATGTCCACGATTTAACCAGTACAGATCGTGTGCTCGTGTGCTTTTGTAGTTAAGTTTGTGATGTTTTCATCTCTACTGAACATGTATAGACTTTTTAAAAATTTATTAACAAATACATGGTATTTGTGTTTTATTTGGTATTATAAATAAGTTTCAGGGATGCAGAGATGGCTCAGCCATTAAAGGCTAGGCTCACAACCAAAAATATAAATAATGTTCAGACAATTTAAGCTATACAGGAGGGGTGCATATGTTATAGAAATACTATATCATTTTATATTGAGACTAAAGCATCCATGTATTTGGAGGTCTTAGCATCAAGTATTAGAAGCATCCTAGAATCAGTCCCATCCAGATAATGAGAGATAGCTCTTAAAAAAACTAAAAGTAAACATTGCCCATGAATTTCCTTTAAAATCTTGTATATGTTGTGGCTGAGTCCATTAATTCCAGGCTACTCTGTGATAGTTTTTTGGAAGTCAAGTAGATGCAATATATTTTGAACAGCTATGAACTCGTGTCTTACTGAGAAAGTCACATCATTCTACATGGATTTAAAGTTAATTCTCACAGCAATCCTGTGATATTGTCCTCATTTTAGGTTTAAGGAAACTAAGAGGCGTGCAAGGTGCAAATTAATGGGTGGCCTTCACCCCATTTTTTTGTGACTACAAGCCCCATGGTTATATAAGCAAACACTGTTTGAACAATCTTTGTTTGTGAAAATACAACAATGGCCGAGATGTGACCTTGCTCAAGTCATGCATCCTACATGAGAGCCTGGGTCTCCTGATTTCTGGTACATTTGCATTGAGCTGCTTCAAGTTGGAGAAAACTATTGGCTTTAAGCTGTGTTGTTGACTCATGCCAGGAGAAAAGTGAGGAATCCGCTCACATCAGTTTCCGCTGTTCAACTTTTAAGTCTCTGGATTATGGGTAGCTTGTAGTTTGTCATTATGTGAAGAGTACTTTGTGAATAGTGTTTATTCTATGACAAAATGAATGATGACACACAGAGTGCCTCCCTACCGGCCATGAAATTCTGGCTTTGTGTTTCAGTGATATATTTGTGTGCAGTTATGGATCATAAAATAATCTTTGTAGCAGCTTTCAGGGGGAGCACTGCCTTCCTTGCAATAGCTACACTTGTTGCTGAAAAATGATCTTGGCCCAGCATGTTTTCGGATTCTTAGTGCACATCCCACACGCATGGCTTTGCTGTCATTGCCAGCCTCATACCTGCAGCGTCCATTTCTACACGGCAGAGGCCATCTACCTTGACCAGAGAAGACACAAATTTATTTTGAAAGCCTATCCAGTTCCCTCTCGCTAGCAAAACCTTTAGGGATGAGAGAGGCTGAGGCATGTTTTTCAAATCAGGGAACTAATACTAAACACCTCTTTAAAGTTCATCCATTTGGCTAGTGATTTCACTTATGTATATCCTGGCATACCAAGCTTAATAATTATCCAAAGTATTTTTAATGCAACAAGAAACAAAGAATTTGAAAGCCACGGTGAATGTACGTTCCAGAGAGTGTCTCTTAGTAGTTTGACCATCAGCCACTTTTAAAGTCTAGTTAAACTTAGCAGAAAGATTTTTCTCCCATTGCCTCCTGAACATTCTCAAGCTCTTAAATATAATCAGCTATTACCGACCACTTCTCAAAAGAACGCCATTGCTTGTATCATATGTGGTGAAGTAGGTTAAAAGCAAGCTCAGGAATCTCTGAGCTAAAGGGCTGTGGTCTCAGGACACATGAGTCAGGATATCCGCTATTGACAACCCATTGCCTGATTAGTCCTGTGACTGATCAGCAGTCATGGCTGGGACAAGGGGACCTGGAGTGCAGTCATGGTCCTTACACATCAGCGGTAGTCTGCCAAGGGCTCCTTTCAGTACCCAGCCTGCAGCCTTTTTGTTTTTGTTTCTTTAATGACAGAACAAGAGATGGGGGTTTCAGACCCTTCCTTTAACACTGAGAAGCAATCTGATGGACAGCCTGTTTGAGTGGAGAAAGTCTTCCTCTTATGTGCTTGATCTCAGGGTCACCACCAACCATACATGTGTGTTCCTTTTCCTAGAAAAGTAAAGTGTTATATAAATTGCCATCTGCTAGATGGGAACACAGCATCCTTTGTTCTTTGTAGAGCATTTGTCTAAAACTGGCTAATAGCCAATATTTATATATTCTGCAGCTCTGGAGGGGATCAAGCATGGACTCCTGGTATCTCTGTTAAACTTCTGCTTTAGACAAAAGCAGAAACCTAATTCTGGATTTGGTTGTCAGAGACCCTTCTTTTAGCATGCACCTCTTACATTTTAGTATTTAGTCTTATGTAAAGACTTTATTTGTTCTGGCAGTGATGGCACATGCCTTTAATCTCAGCACTCAAGAGTCAGAGGCAGGAGGATCTCCATGAGTCCAAGGCCAGCCTGGTCTACAGAGTAAGTTCGAGGACAGCCAGGACTATACAGAGAAACTCTGTCTCTGGGAGGAAAATAACTAGATATTTATTTTATTGATTTAGTTGAAAATGTTGCCAGTATATATTTAAAATTTTTTATTATTGAATTTTCCTTGCATTGGCCCACTGTATCTTTTCTAATGTGTTAGGTTCTTTCTCATCTTCATCTTTGGTGCTGTCTGCAAGCAAGTATTATAAATCAAGCAAGAGATGTGCTTACACTAGAGAATTACAGCACCATGACAGAGGGTCACTGGCAGGTTCTACCACATCAGCCTTGAAATACTTTGATCGTGACCATCTTCTGCTAGGATGGTGTTCAGAAACTCACCGTAGCCAGACAACAAGCCAATGTGTATGATCCTATCAGACCCCATGTCCCTGCACATCTGTCCCTACCCCCCCTCTAGTCATGGCTGCTACCCATCTCCTGCACTGCTTCTAACTACCTGCATATTCCCTCTCCCTCTGCCTGTCAGAACCTAACAGGAAACTCCTCCCTCTACCAGATATATCTCCCATAGTGATGCCATGTAGCTGTCACTGAACAGCCACATTCTTACCTTAGCGGGTGTAGTCCATGACTCCTGGCTTACCCGCTAAGGTCTATAAAGCCAAGAGCAAGTCCCAGGAGGACCCCTGACACCTAATGCAGGTAGATGAAGCAGAGAGGATGATGAGCAGAGGCACATACCAAGACTCCTAGGGTTTTTATTGGATAATTGCTCAGGAGCTGCTTCTCTTAAACATTTTTATTATTGTCTGACAGTTTTATGTGTTTATATAATGATTTAAGTTTTCAGCCCCACTCCTCTCTCTCATCCCCTCCCTCTCTCACATATCCAACAAATACCATAGCATTCCCTGTGTCTGCAGCATAGCTCTAAGCACCTGATGTATTTGCACAGTTCTAAGCACCTAGCATGCTTGTACAGCTCCAAGCTCCTGACATGTTTTCACGCTCTAAGCACCTGGCATGCGCTGTGTGATGTTATTGGCATTCACCTTTACAGATGAAGCGCTGGAAACACTGGGAGGTCAGCATGCACCCCAGATTTATGTAGGACTGCTCGTTCTGCCACTTGTGCATGCTCCTTTTTAATCCTCTCAGCAACCTTGGGCTCAAGGAGGTTGAAAT